CAGCAGGAGGTCAGATAGGGAAAGTAGGTTTATCTGCAGGAGATTTCCAAGCATCTTTGCTGTTGGATTAGGAGTCCAAGCTAAAAATACCTGAACAAAAATATATTTACAATATGATATCTGAATGCAAAGGCTGCTGTGCATATTAATTAAGGACCAAAGTTACTTTCAAACAGCGTGATACGGTGTTTAAGGTACTAAGTAGTTTTCTCTTTGTTTCTTTGTTTTCTGGTTGCCAAGGAGATCAGGATTATCGTGTACAGTACCTTTTCTCAAATTAGCTAATCCAAATCATGTTGTTAATGTATGTCTGCTCCAAAGATTAAGAAAATAGGGAGGGAATTCTTTTTTTCCAATCAGTGTAATTTGCAAGCTGCTGGATCATTATTTTTATACTCACTTCTGCTTTTCTCTGACCATTTTTTCTCCATCACTGAAATCTGAAAATGTGTGAAATAAGATGCTCCAAATTCTTTGTGCATCACCATCCTCTTATCTTACCAGCACGTTCTTTTTGGTAAGGATTGCTCTAGATTTTATCATGTCTAGAGCTGCACGCTTGAGTTTTTCTCAGCTCTCAGAAATTCTGGGTTGTTCAGATACAAAGTGTTAGAGATATGGCATGAGAATTTGGCTAGAAGAGGGCAGGACTGTGAGGACTCTACTGTACCACACATGTCAAGCCATTGCAGGGCTACTCTGGGAGTCGGAGAGGTTGCTGAGGCTGCTCATTTCTCTAGATTTCCTTATAATGACAAATAACTAGTCACAAAGGTAGAATGAAGAAGAAAATATACTTTTACTAGTTTAGCAATAGAAAGTTCCAGGTAATCAAAAACATATAAAGACAGAAGTGGAGTACCAGAGATAGTAAGAACCAGTGGTGTTTGCAGTTAACCATGGGAACATGCCATAGGGATGATTATTATAAAGCTTCTGAATCCTTTAATCCAGGATAAATCATTTATGAGTAATGTATGGATTAGATTGCCTGGGACATGCTAGGAAATAAAACTGTGGAAGAGCCAAAAGCTTCATAACTGTGCTGGGGCAAGGCAAAAACCCTTAATTCAAGTGAGGGGACCCCCAGACTCTTTGGTGGGTGGCTTCACAAGGGGACATAAAGAAAAGCCCTCCCATACCCTCCCAACTGCCCACCTTCCCTGCAGTAGATAAGAGGCTTCCCTTCCTTCCCTGTGGTGATAAGAGGCTTCTTGCTATACGAAGTAGCAATATTTCCTGTTGGCTGCACTATCAGTTATGGGAAGTTTTGTTACATTTTTGGATCCCAGGCTTCTTTCCTTAAGAGCTATCCTCTTTTAGCTGCCTGCAATTCTTCATTTTCTCCCATTTTCTAACCTTGTGAATATTGTTGTCTTGGGGAGCAGAAGGAAGCAGGACATATTAGGAGAGGGGACAGAATGGGGCCCCTGAGGAGCTTCCTCACACTTGGCTAAGTTAAAGCCTCACATTCAAATGATGCTCAGGTGATAGAGATGTGGCTCAAGGTGCCCTAAGAAGCTGTCTGCAAGGCACCAAGCCATGTCCCAAGCAATTTGCCCACTACCTTTACAGGACCTGGTGACAGCTGGGAGTGAAGCCTAGATCCATGTGGAGTATATTGGCTGCCTGAGCTTGGGCTGTCCTTAAATGCTGCTTTCATTGACTCAGGGGTCCCATAGCTGGTGATACAGATGAGCATGGGGTAGGTCAGGTAACCTGCTCTTCTTTCTCCACTTTTCTGGCCCACCAAGGCACAGGGAGGAGGTTTAACACTGTGTATGTGTGTGCGACTGTGCACATATGTCTCCCCGACAAGCAAGGAAAGACTGCTCTCAGTTGAATGCCCTCATGCATTACTCCTGCAAAAAGGACTAAACTGCGCATCAAGTTCTTGATTTCTTCCAAATTATGAATTATGCAGGAAGAAAGAAGATCAACAGGAATCAACGTCAGTTAAATTCTGAACTCTTTCTCTTAGAGTTCATCCCTCCATCAGGCTCTTGAGTTTGCTCCTGTAGATTTAATTTACCCTATTAATTTGAGGTTGACTGGCCTCAGCTTGGTAATCTCCTGTCTGATGGATACCTCTCATTTGCTGGCACTCTCATCTATGCTATCATTACCAGCTCCTCAAAATACACAGGTTTCTTTTCCTATTTCTACACAAGAGAGGAGGGGAAGGGAAAAAAAAAAAAAGAAAAAGCTCAGACATGGAAAGAAATTATGAGCTTGTCAAACTGTGCCAAATTGGATTGAATTAGGTGACCGAGGATCTGAATCATGCTCCTTGTTCTGAATAAGTAAATTCTCTCCCTTCCTTCCAGTTTCACAACACTCTTGAAGCAGTGTTTTTTCCTCTGAAATGCCAAAAAGTCCCAAAGCACTTCTCAAGTAACGTGAGCTGATTCATGTGAGCATTTGCCATCACCTGAACACAAGATTGTTTGCTTAACATTTTATGCACTGCATGTCAATATTTACTCAGCGTTACTAACAAGAGAATTGATAGTGTTCAATTTGCAAGCCCAATGCTGTGCATTAGCTGTGACATTGATATTGTCTTCTTTTGTTTTAGACCTCAGAGAGAAGCAAGTTTTTTTCCATCTTCTATTTATCCATTAATGCTGGAAGTTTGATCTCCACGTTTGTAACTCCTGTATTAAGAGGTCAGTGTTGGTTTAGAATAAGACAATAAATTAGCTGCCCTCTGACTACTCTGCTGCGCATAGTTAGGCTCTTATGACAACTGAATGGCAGAAATTATATTATCTGTGGAGTGGTCAGTGTATTGCATTTCTGCCTTGTTAATCCTGCCTTGGCAGCGTAACAGATTTCTAGTACTACAGACAAGTCACAGAAGCTATATTCCTGGTGGTATTTCAAAGCCAGCCTGACTGTCAAACTAAAATATGAAAGGTGGAAGGACCTATATGGTCATCTAATCCTCCCCATTGCCAGTGAAGGATTATTCCCCCATCTTGCCTGCAGGTAACCTGCGGATGGGAACTGATGTCTGCTGTCCTGTGCAGGTGTCAGGGCCAAAAAACTTAGCAGGGCTGGTTTTGAAGTCCTACCTTCTCCCTCCCACAGGGTGCTGCTGACTTCTGGAGGGCTCTGTCTTGGCACCCAGGCGTGTCTGTGTGGGTCTGCTTGCAAGATTGCAGCCCTGAGCAACTAGCCTTGAAGACAAAGCACAGGCGTATGCCTCATTTAAGTCCTACTTTATATTCTAGCCAGCTTGCACGACCCTTTTTAGTTCCCAAGTCTTGCTGCACTTCATTGTATTGCAGCACCTAGAAGCCAAGGGGATTGGCATGCTCTAAATATAGTCACAGAGGCAGAGCAGCAGGCTATAGGCGATGGAGATATGGACAGGGACAAGGTAGCCTTCACATTTAGTGACTTTTTTTCATTCCATCCCATGGTCTCCAGGAAGCTTTCTTTGTTCAGAGTGGTTATTTTAAGAGGCCATTCATTTCACAAGCCTGTGGGCAATTTTCCTTGTCTCCTATTTACACCATGTGTATGGACAAAGACAAATGCTGTATCTCTTGCTCTTTTTCTCACTGGTGTCCCCAGGTCAGCAGTCTGTTGGGAAGGGGCTTATGCTCAATGTAGTCAGTGGGCAGATGAAAATCCAGTCCCTCTTGAACATCAATACTTGTGCCAATATAGCCTAGCAATAAACTAGTTGCAACATGGAAATGATGTGGAAAGGATTGAGGAAAGAGTAAAATTTTTGCTAAGAGTGAAAGCTTTTCTTGGAAGAGAAAGAAAAGCAGTTCATAGACATTTGGCAGAAATGTGGAATATATACTTTTAGGTGGAGAAGTCCAACTCATTTTGCATGACAAAAGTTTAGTGTGCCCATGATGTCTCACTGCCGACTTTGTTGGATTTCAGCTACTTTGCTGAAAATAAGTAAATAAATGCTATGCACACACAAAGCTATGCAGCTGACCATGACTGCCTAGAGACAGCAAACAGGAATAATTGAAGGCTTTGTGGGCTGGTTTCCTGTTAACTATGTTGGCTTATTTTAGCCATTTTGTTATTACTCCATGTAAGAATGCAGTAATTTGTAGCCACTGGCATACAAAAAATCCCACTGCTGGTTTGCTGTTTGTAACTGGACCTCTAAATTCATGTGGTGGGAGAACTGACCTGGTCCAAGAGGTGCAAGATTTCAATGAATCATAGCTCAGATCGATTAAAGCCATGCTGTAACAAACCTGGCTTCCTGATGGGTTATTGCAAGACCTGACATCTGGAGCAGGCTACATCTAGTGAGATTGGGAATGTGGTGAGAAAGGGAACTTGAGTTTTAAGACTAATCCTGTGCTCCCACTTACGTAGTAGGGTATTGGCTTCCACTTTCTCCACTGTAGGTCGCTATGAAATCAGATGCAGGTTTTTAGCTCAATAACTCGTGCAGCTGGCACAAATAATATGGAAACCCTGATTATTTAGATCTGGGCAAATACAGAATGGCTTCAGGTTATTTTAAATGTTGCGGGTTTTTTCCCTAATCACAGTTCCTACTATTTCTTTCTACCTATTTGCCTGCCCCCTCCCTTCTACCATTCTCATCAACATCCCATTATCAGCTGCTTTTGCTGGCAGACCTTGCTTCCAAATTGTCTTCATCAAGGGAGCACAACTGTTTCAAGGAGATTAAATTCACAGTGTCAAGCACTAGCAAAGAAGATTTAAAGCCAGGGGAAGCAACTGATTTAGGAGAAGCAAATCAAAGGCCCCAGTAACCTAAGTCTGATGGTAATGAGGTGCTTTTATTTCCGACTTCTTTTTCAGGGGATGTGAAATGTTTTGGAGAGGATTGTTATGCACTGGCTTTTGGTGTCCCAGCAGCACTGATGGTGTTGGCGCTTGGTGAGTGGAAACAATAATGCTTGTATTAGGAGTTACTGCTTTTGAAGTCCATGGAGAGATGAGAAAATGCACAAATTCACTAGCTGTCGATGGATACTGTGATAGGAAACTCAGGCATTCAAGGTCATCCAACAACTCCACAGTTCAGAACAGCAAGAAAAATCACGAGTTCACTTAGTGGTGGGCAGACCATGGTTTTACTGCAATGCTTTATCATGATACTGATGAGAGGGTGATCTGGTCACAATACAATTGCCTTGCTCCGTAAAGCAAAGGAAGGCACCAAAATGATTCTCCCAATGTTTTGCAGCTTTACCTGTGAGCAGGCTTGGCCTTTGAACCACAATCTGAGCAGTCCTCAGAATTCCTCAGCTGACAGAAGAGCAGCTTAGCATGCCACTTCTAACCTTTCCACAGGCTCTTTGCAGCTTGGGGCCATCTTTAATGGCTCAGACTTTTGCTTCAGAATCTATGCACCACAGAAATCACAGAAGAAGCTGAATGAGATGTTACTTTATTTTGAGCTATCTCACTTTGCTTGGCTGAAGTAATTCCCACAATTACAGTGACAACTTATTATTAGGTTGCAATAAAAGCCCTTATTGTCCAAATGTCAGGAGGCAGGCACAATCGCCCTGCTTCCCAAAGCTTGCATCTTAACCCCATTAATATACTTGTCAAGATTTCTTCTTCAATCCTTATAAAATACTCCGCAATTTCCATATTCTTACTGTTACTCCTTGGTAGCCAATACAGGGGACACTCCATTAGCTTTAGTTTCACAGTTGCAAGTTGCTGAGGGGAGCAGTCCCCTTATTACGCTGGATTTGAGAGGTTTCAAAACATCATCCGGTGACTTCTCATTCAGCTTGTTAGCCTAATTGAGAGACCAAGCAATTGTGTGATTTCACCACAGCATCTGTGATTTGAAAAGTTCATATCGCAGAGAATGTGAGTGTTGCTCTCTTCCCTCAAACTTCCATCAGAGAGAAGAATCAGGACACTGGAGAAATGTCATCAGGCCACAGCTAACTTTACAGCAATTATTTTGAAAAAAGTGCATGGTCACGGGCCTGAGAAGCTTCTCTTTTCCCCTGTAGCCTGTTCCTATCAGTTTAAGGCAGCACAGGCTCCTCCGTGCACAATTGTGTGATGAATGTTTCTAGCAGAGTAGTAGTTGCCCAGGGAAAAACGGACGTGTAAATATTGCAGTTTCGGTGAGGGCATCAGTCGAAATGCATTTTTAGCTAGCGTTCTGCTGCCAGATTCCACGGCCTGACCGGCAAAGCAGCTCTGTGTTCTTTTGTAACATGCTAAAATGCTCTTGGAAGCGATGTATTTGACTATGTGAGTAGCATGCAGAACTGGAGAAAATACCCTTTCAGCCCTGACTGTCCCTCTCCCCATGATGATGGAAACCAAGGATAGATTTAGAGGCAGAATGGAAATCTTATAGAGCAAAATTTTCTGGGCTGCTTCAGTTTCTGAAAGATGGGGGAAGATTGATACTATTTAATTTCAAATGCCAAACCTAAGGCAGGAACTTCAGTTCCCAAAGGAGTCAATGGCATCACCAGTAGGTATTTCAGCAAACCTTACGAATCACCTTTTAGAGGCACCAGCAGGTCCACAAGGAGATGCTAAAAATTAGGTAGTGCAGCTACCTCCTCTGGGTGTCTTTGGACAGTGCCTTTCAGTGCAACTCACCTAAACTGACTTCAGAGGTGTCTCTGACAGTTCTGCAAGTCAAAACTGGATGCAAAAGGTCTTCATAGTCAGAAAAGAGAAATGGAGAGTTCCCTGCAACGTCCCAGGCCTCCTGTGTTAGGACAGAGGTACCTGCTTTTCTCCACTGGCTGTGGACTGACGCAGACAATTGGGTCAGTTTAAAAAGTTGAGGTTGGTTTGTTATATGGATTTCACGCTTAGTTTTTATTGTGCTTCTCCCTGCTAACTTCTTTGGAATTGCAATGCGCTCAGAGGCTCTCAAAGAGCAGGACAAAGGATATGTACTCAGATAGCCCCATCTCTGACAGGATTTTGAAGCCTTGGTCGAATATTCTTTCTGCTTTGAGGGAGAAAACCAAGACAAAACAATATCTTAAGTTGTATATCCCTTCATGGAAACCATAAGTTGAGGTAATTTCTGTTAACACCAGTGTGTGCTGCAGTGACCTTCATGGCAGTTTCCATTAAAATGTGTGTGAGATGCAAGTACACAGAGCCTGCATTGGATCTGGATTAATCCTCACATGGTTGCAATGAGTCAGGGCTGATTTCCGACATCAGGTGCAGCAATTCAATGTGGGTTGTATTTTAAGTTTAGCCTACAAAAAGCATAGATGGAGGCACTCTTCAAAGCTTTGATTCCCAGCATGAATCAGATGTAGAGGTGCCTGATGTGCCAGAGCAGATCATGAGAAGATGACGGTGACTTCCTAGGGATCACACTGTCTCTTGTAGGATGTTGCATTTTCTTAAATCTGAAGGCATTAAAGGAGTCCTGTATATTTGTTTTGTTAAAAGCGCAATCCTGTAAGCCCCAAGGGCAGAGGATTTCTGTTGAAAACAGGGGTGGGCCATCCTTCCCAGAAGCCAGTACAGGATTGAACCTGAATCATGTGAATTCCCATTTGGATTATAATATTTTTCAGTTGTGTTCATTGCTGGAAGTGGACTGTACAGAAAAACGCCACCACAAGGGAACATCTTACTGGAAGTGTGCAAATGCATCGGTGTAAGTGTGTGCCATTCTCTCTTTTTCACGTATGACTCTAAGGTTGCAGTTCAGAAAAGTGCAAAGGGAAAGGGGAGGTGACATTTGGATTTCTTCTGTATGCTTCTCCTGGATATCTTGCTGATGAGCTGTAAGGAATAAGAAACACATTTAGGTCATAGTTTATTCTTTCAACATTTCAATTGTTTTTCCTTAGTTCCGTGAACTGTTCAGTTGATGTCAGTAGAACCACTAGTGGCAGATACTGATGGAGACTGAGCTGAAAGGAAAATTCAGAAACTCGGACAGTATCAGATATATGACTCAATTTTTTTTTTCAGCTGAATAATTTTACTGAAGTTTATCAGTTAAGCAGACAGTAATAGTACACATTCATATTACGCACATTCAGCATATTCATGTAAATGCAAGAGACACCTGCTGAAGTTGCATTATAGCCTTATCAATCATTTTCCATAGTGTGTGAGCTGAATATAGTGTATGAAAAAATACTCTCTTATTATTAGGTGGATAATCATGTTTATTTTTCAGGAAGCTGTTGCTAACAAAAAATGTTTTCTTTTTACCTAGGTCAGTCCTAGTGGCAGATTTACCTTGGGGAAACAGGCCAGATCCTAAAGATAGGATTTCTAAATGACGTCTGCCACTCTTTTTGCCAGGGTGGCTCTGTTCAGTGTGTTTAGTGACTAAAGCACACAGCATAAACCAACAAGTTACAAATTCGGTGTCACTGATATCTCCTTCAGCAAGAAACCAACTGGAAAGCTGGTCTAGGAGTGAATGAGGCATGGGCTGCACCAGGAACGTGCAAAGAAAGGTCTACAGAACAAGAAGGGAGTGAGAGTTCTGGTTTTGACATTGCTTTGGATAATAAGGCATTTCCTCCCCAGCACAGTGGTCAATCCAACAGGTGCTTTTTTGGAAGAGAACTGAAGAAATCATGTTTATAGCTTTATCATGTAGCAGGTTTTAAATCAAGCATGAAACAATCTTTGGGGGCTAGTGTCAGATTTGTCTCTGAAAGACAAACCCATGAGGTAGTTCATTCCCACATCATATATTTAATCAACCAATGTCACAGAAACTTCCCTGCAGAGAATTGGACGTAAAGCATCCGGTCCGAGATTTTTGGAAGTGTCCAGCAAAACCTCTGCAATTTTCTGACACTGCTTACATTTGAGGATGGGGAGGGCAGCCTTGACTTGGGAACGTGACAAGGGTAGGTACGCCACAAGGGAGTTACTCACCTGTTTTTCTCCCTAGTTTGCTATTAAAAACCGGCTGAAAAACCGCTCCCGTCAGATTCCAAAGAGAGATCACTGGCTGGACTGGGCGTCAGAAAAATACTCGGTAAGCAATGCTTTACCTGGCAGGTTTAGAGGGGGAAGGAGAGAGACGGACAGACAGAGGAGATGGCAAGACTGGCCTGGCCACACCACTCCTCACATGCACCAGGCTTTCATTTGTCCTGTCCCTTCCCACATCTGTACTCTCCTGACCCTCAATGGACAGTTTAGGTGCTGCACTGAAATGCAAGTATGTCCAATATCACATAGAAGTGCAATAAATAACTGCCATGCAGAAAGAAATAGATCTCATGCCTTGTGGCTTGAATCACCTGTTGGCTTTTCACCCCCATCTTACCTTTCTGCCTGTTCCCTTTATAGAAACAACTGATTGGTGAGGTTAAAATGGTGACACGTGTTCTCTTCCTCTTCATACCGCTGCCAATGTTCTGGGCCCTGTTTGATCAGCAGGTACAGTACAGTGCATTGCAGGTCTGCCTGCTAGCCTGAGTTTTCACCCTTGTCCTTCCAGGGTAACACCAAAGCATCCTGGGGACACATCGCGCCACACTCCTACCAGGTGTCCAGGGGCTTGCTAAGGCAGTACCCACCATCACTGCCAGCCATCCCTTTGCAGTCCTGCCAGGTGTCTGACACAGGAGGGTGAGAAGGGAGAATGTGCCCTGCCTACTGGCAGGTGTTACAGGGAAGAGAAGGAATAGATGGGGAATAAGACCTCCAGCACTGTTGTCTTCTCTATCCTCGTGTTTTCTAGTCCCATAGGACATCTTGAAGGCTTCACAGCTGTCTGTTTTCTCCTTAGGGATCCAGGTGGACATTGCAAGCCACAAAAATGAATGCTGATTTTGTAAGTACTTAATGTCACCAGGGCTGATAAGACTAGTAGTAACATCACTGCTCTTGCTTTTTAACCAGAGTCTTGCAGTACTAAGAGCATCTGCTTGATGAATTTGGGTGAGTTGCACTTTTGGTGATTAGAAGCGAGAGGCTCTGTGCAGCCATGTTCAATTCATCACAGCACATCTTAGCAAGGAGTGAGGGCTGGGGAGCCATCAGCAGCCTGCAAGGTCAAGAGTGCTGACCTTCTGGCAACCAGTCGCTCTGTGACCTTGAGCAGGTAGGGTTTCAAGCCTGCTACCCCCACTGAAGACAAAGTCAGGGAAAGTTCACACAGCCCTTGTAAGGTGTAACCAGGGCTATTGTAGTTGTATATTTCTGCTCTGGCTTACCTGGTGATACATTAATGAAGCTTCTCAAAACCAGAAAAAAATAGGGTAGAGATGTGAAGAGGATTAATTAGTTAGTAGCCATAAAGTTCTTCAAAGATGTGAATGGCAAATGGTGCAGGGTGCAGTGGCAGATAAATGTGGATCAGCTATCTGCCTAAAGATGCCACCATACAGGGATGGTTTCCAGCATTATATGTTTTAACAGGCTATCTAGATCTTACCTGTGGATGCTCACATCAGAATTTAGGATTGTAAATGCCCATTTTCCAGTTAAAAATTGACTTAAAGCCCCAAATTTGAGCCCTTCTATGTCACTCCTGTTAAAAATTGGGCTCTCAGCATTAGATACTCATCAGGCTTAACTAATTCAAATGAACACGAGAAAGACTACAGCTTGGGTAATATTTATCCACCTTGGAAAGACAAAACAATGAAAGTTTCTAAAACCTTTGTTTTCTGCTGTTTTGCTCACATGCACTTAGTGATCCATTAGTAGAAGATCTAACAATCACCAGGTGCCACTTACTAAACTCTCCCTGGTGGAGAAGGACATATTCATGGCTTTTTTGTCACACAAACTTGGATAGATTTTTGGCTTGTGTTTCAGTCTCATCCACTCTCTGCTGGTGAGTTGTCCCAACTCATGAAGGTGAGAATTAACTGCGACATTGGGGTGATCCCACCATTAGGCTTGTTGGAGTTCATGTTTGTAATATTCTGTGCTTTTCCTTTCTGCAGTTAAAGGACTCAGGTAGGAAGTCTGGAGTTAAACAGGGAAAGATTTAGTGTGAGATGAAATATTTGCAGGCTTGTTTCCTAATGGCACATTTGAGTAGTATGCACAAAGTAGCAGGAGGTGATATTTGCCTGATACTTTTAATTGTAAGACTCCTTTGCTGTGACTAGCGTTTTTACAGTCTCCCAGGAGGCAGCTGCCGGCAGAGACAGGCAGCCATTCTAGATGAAGCTCAGAAAAAGCCTGGCAGACAGGAAACAACCCCCCACAGTACTTTCTTGGAAAGATATTATTTCCTTCCTAATTTTACCCCCTCTTCTCTTCATCTTAATTTCAAATGAAAAGCATTATGTGGAGTTCAGATAAACACTAGCCCCTCCCTGGAGACGGCTCCTTGGTCCCTTTTGGGAACTGGGATCCCTCCATCATTCCCTGTTGACCTTGCCTGATTGTGAGGGCTGGGTCCAGTGATGCAAGGGTGAGGCACCTCTCATAGCCTTGAGGACTCTTGGCTCAAACCAAGAAGCCACAGCTGACCAAAGCCCATTAGGGGCCCTCAGCAGATGGAGGGAGGGAGGTGTTTGTGCAGCCCACTGGATCTGGGATGGTCTTTTGTTATCCTTTTGGGGTGCTTGGGAGAAATGCCAACAGACCTCAGAGGGTCCTGAAGCTTGAGAGCACTCACTTGTAGGATTTGGACTTTTCCCGTTACAAAAGCAGGGAGGGAGGAAGCTCTAAGCCCAAATCTCAACTTAGGCATTAGCATGCCCATTCCTCCCCACTCACCTAGTTCATGGCTCAGCCAGTCTGAAAGATGGGTCTCAGTACCTGTCATAGCCTGTGTCCCAGCTGCCATATATCAAGGACTAAGTGTAGCTTTCTTCTGCAAAACGGTTCTCATCAAACACTGTGTCCTTGGATGACAACTGTCAAGAGCACAATATCAGCTGCTAAAGCCAACATAAAGCATTTGAGGAAACCACCTTTGCTGCTAAGGCCTCTACTGGACTTGTTGTTTATTTGCCACATGTGCTGTTATATTATGGTGTTCATGAATCACTTGGAATCTCTTTTTGTTTCAGGGAATATATGTCCTTCAGCCTGACCAAATGCAGGTAAAAGATACTATAGGGTAGGAAATAACCCTTAGAAATGTATTTTCTTTTTCTCTCTCACTTTTTTGTTTCTCATGGGACCAGTGGCCTTTCTCTGCCCCTTTTGAAAGTAATAGCAGTGTTGCTGCTGACTGCTGTGGTATGGACTCTGCCTTATTGCTCACTAGCTCTTTTGCAAGCTTAGTCTTGGGGTTCAGAAAACCCCAAGAATATCCTAACATGGAGGTTGAATCCTGCAGAATAGTGCAGAGGTGTGGGGAGACATGCCACCGTAATAGTTCTTGAACTAGTACTGGCATGTGGAGGATACAAGCTGTGTCTCCTTTTAACATGCCCCTGCACCGGAATGAGTGTTGTACCTGAAGTATGTTTCCTTTCTCCCTTTCTGGAGGGCAGATGAAAATGTGAAGGCTCCAAGACGGTGCCGTGTTGTCACAGTTGATTACAATTCTTATGCTGAATGGCTCTGGAGAAATTCAAAGCTGTTCTGTTCCCTGAAATCTTCCTTTGAAATTGAAACAGCATTTCTCTCTGTTTGTTCTCCGTCACTTTCTGTTTTCTTGCTCTGCGCTCTGCCACTGCTGGCTGGCAGACAAGCTCTGCCCCTCCCAGGAGAAATTTAGTTCCGGAGGGATTACCAAGGTGTGTGGAAGTGTGAGAAATTGCCAGTCTCACAGAATAGTGCCTGTTCCTCTGGGATTTTGCTGAAATCCCAAGATGTTTCCATTATTGCTGGTTTGTTGTAAGGTCCCACCACAGCACCAAAGGTCACCTGACTCTCTTGTCAGTGGGTTTTGTACTCTTTAAAAACATAATGCTTCAGTTCTCTCTTCAGGAAAGCTGGGCCAGTGATTCTTGCTCACCTCTTGGAGGGGAGGGTATGAACAAAATGTATTTGTGCGTGTGAAAACTAAATAGCAGAAGCTGTTGAAGCGCAAACTATGATTATATTTTAAAAGGAGATTTTTAAGTGTTTGTTCATGTCCTTTCTGTAATGGAATTATTTCTGGAGGACAGTGCTTTATGAGTTTAATTACTGAAAGTTGCTTTCTAGTCACTAAACTCCCGTTCTTTTGTATTGCAGTTCTTAAATCCACTTCTTATTCTTGTCTTCATCCCAATTTTTGACCTTGGGCTCTACCCCCTGATAAACATGTGCAAATTTAATTTCACGTAAGTACTTTGGGACAATGCAGATGCCTCAGTGCTTTTTCTTTTGTTGCAAGTGTGCAGAATAACTTTTAAAGAGGAGAAACACAAATTTCCATTCACCCCTCTCAGTACTTGCCTCTACTTCAGCCCCAAGAGGCAGCTTCACCATCTTCTGTAGGCCCTGGAAAATCCAGAGGGGAAAACAGTGATGTTGGCTTCCGCTCTGTACAGACTTTCCCTGAAAGCAGATATGAACAGTTCCTCTTTGAATTTGATCAACGTGTTCTTCACCTTATCTCCTATATCACTGCTAAATAATTCCCTCCCTGAAAGGTCCCTGTGGCGCCAAATTCATGGTCCCATGTGGGCTACATGTGGTGATGTGAAAGCAGATTCCACACTAGGATTTGAACCAGTGAGTACATAAGAGAATTTCCATATGTCCCAAGCATTATATCTGTAGTGTATGTTAGCAAGAAGTGCAGTGTAATAGGAGTAGACCTCCAGGTTGGTTCTGAGACCCACTTTATGCATTTTGGGGCATTTTACTTTGGAGTATCTGTAGTCTGCCTCTGTGGACTGATGCCCTTTAGCAGTGGGAGTACGTTATGTACACCCATGGAGTGCCTCTGCCAGTGCAGATTCAGCTGAAATGAAACAAGTTTCCATGCTCCAGCACCATTTCTCAATGTGACCCACAGTGTGGGAAGGGGCGATGAGTGGGAGATTGGCTTAAAAAGCATGTTCCTAATCCAAACTAAAATGCTGGATAGACAAAACCACATAAAATGGGGGTGGAAGGAGCCTTGGAAGCCTACCCCTTCATCCTGCTGATCCTTTCCCATGATGCTGAATTACTTGCACCTAAAGACATATCAAAGGCATTGTCCAGCTGTGTGATGGTGCCCTTTGGAGGACACGCATCAGAAGCTGTGCTTCTCTATGCTGGAGTCGGTGCCCTGGACTGAGCTTGACAGAAAACTTCCTGCCTGATGACCGGTTCACAGACTAGTTCACCCAGCAGCGCGAACTCATGCACCGCTCGGGACTGAATGCCATGCTGTTTCTGTCCACTGGATGTGGGATACTACCAGGCTCCTATCCAGTTTAGCTGTAGAAGTGGCTGTGGAAACACTGTAGCCTGCAGGGTGGTACTCTGTGTGACCGCAAAGGTTCGTGCTACAAAATCCCAATGCAGCATTGAAGATCAAAACCATTTTTTTATTATAAGATGCAAGCAGTAAATATTTTCTTATCCCAGGACATGTAACTAAGAGACAGAATTTGGGTTCCTAATCTGGATTTTCCACAGCTGGGTCAATCTGTAATGTGAATCCAGACCATTACAAAGAGTGGAGACCACTGAATCTAGAACCAGATTTGTTTCAAATCTCAACAACTCAATAGTCAGTGTGGACCTGCTGTTCTGGACATATTTTATTGTGTTTTATATCAGATTGTCTCACATAACTCTGGTAGAGTTGCACTAGTTTTGCTCCGACTTCAGAAGCAGGCTCTTTATTCTGTAGAAATGTAAATGTATTGGCATGAGAAATAACCCAGAATGATGCCACAGATGGTCAGAAACATTGATGACACAAACTACACATTTTTCTACTCCTCATTCCAAAAAAAAAAATAGCATGCTACTTTTCTTTTGCCTTTCCCAAAAGGGACTTGAAGATATATAATTTCTAGTGCTTCTTCCAACATCACAGGTTAACATAATGCCATGAGCTATTCCCACTAGAAGAGCTAGGAACATGGTAATATGAAACTTGCAAGCAAAGAGCTTTTTTTCATGGCATATCCGTTTTAATTGGCCTCAGTGCTGGTCTTGTACAGAGTAATAGAATAGTTTTAAGTTAAATGATTGGCAATTTAAACAGTATGTCATCCCCAGTGCCACCTATTGGACAGTTTATTACACGGTTTTGGCACATCTTTGGCTCTGAGGAATGGTATTCTGTATTTTAAATTACCTTTTTTTTCTTAATGGCACCTCTTTCATTTGCTCCATAGACCTATTAGGAAAATGGCAACAGGTATGATCCTTGCAGGGATGGCGTTTGGACTTGCAGCTATTGTAGAACTCAAAATAAATGTAAGTATAGCACAAGGGATTCCTCAGAAATACATTATTTCCTTGGGGTGGTTTTGTTTGATGCCTATTAGATAATTCTTTCAACCATTGTGTTCCTTGATCATAATTTTTAATGTGTTCTTTATAATTAAGCATACCGATCCAGTTGCTAATGATAATTCCTTGTCTACTTTTCCCTTTCTTTCTCTCTGTCTCTATCTCTTTGTCTCCTTCTAGTCTTTGCAGTTTTGCTGTGCTGGTCATCTATATTGGTCTGTATTCTAGATTTCCATCGTCAAAATGCTTGACAGACATCTAATTCATGCTAGTGATTAATTCCCAAAAGGTAGTCTGTTCTCTCTCCTATTTCTTGCTGTAGCTTGCCTATATTTTACTGTTTGGTTTGGGTTTTTTGTGTGTGGTGGTTTTGGCTTTTTAATTTAGTTACTTTCCTACTTTAGGGTGGGTACGTGGTTTTTTACAAGCCAAATTGTTTCTCCAGTGAGACAGGTGAAGGCAGTCACTTCCGTAGTCACAGGCATCAGAGACTGCCAGGCATCCCCAGACAGGATGGCAGCAAATCTCTGGTAAATTCAGTGCTAGCCCCTGTAGATTTGTACCATTTGTTTCTGGCCCACGACCAGCCTTGTGCAGACTTTGGCTGACCTTTGTCTCACAAAAGTTACTATGGGATTAATTTTTAAAGCTTCCATGTATACTTAAAATGTTCTGTTAGACTGGCTGGCGCACAGCCGCGGATTAACATTTGCTGGTTCCTCAGGTAAATCCACTGACAAGTCTTCTGCTGAAATGAGACTTTGTGGGTTCAGGTCTTCTTTCTGATCTCTGTACATGAGCAAAGAAATGCTCTCATTGCCACCACCAGCAGCTCTGGCCGAGCACTGGAAGTCTGCTCTGGCTGTGGGTGACTCCTTCAGGCAGAGACAAGGTGAATTAGAGGTTCACCCCTGCCTGTGCATGGAAATTTTAACCTGAAGGCCACTAAAAGCTCTAGCAAAGAGGGGGATAGGATGGCCCACCTTGGCATGGCTGTGGGTGGCACAGGTGAAAAGCCACAGTAATGGAATTTGCTGGATAACATTAATAGGCCTGTTGGTGCAGAGCAGCATATGGGTACAGAGAAATCAGTGTCACTCTGTCTTCTCTGACAGTTTGTCTCCCCACCAAGTTAGGTTCAAACTGCCCTGCCTCCAATACCCAAATTATAGGATGAGATATAGAAAAAAATTAATAGCTCTGAAGTATTGCTGGCAGCTACTTGAAAATAAAGGGAGGAAAAAAGAGAAGTTTAAAAAAAAAATCAAATTCATTTTAGATCTGCAAGTAGTACAAGGCTGACACTGATTGATGTAGTCTTTCTAGGAAATGATTCCTGACAGAGATACCTCTGTGCTGGAGGCATCATCTTCCCTTTCTTGGAAAACAGGAAATAAGATCTGTACAGTTGGCTGTTAGCATGGTGTCAAGTGATGCAAAAGCACTGATTACAGACATGGAGCTGGGCTGGGATTTTTGAAACTGCTTAGCTTCTGGCCTAATTCTTTTCCCAGTCACTGACTGCAGTGGGAAATAATTATTCTGGTCACTGATTTTGAAAGCTAAGCACAATTTTTTTTCCATTCTGATATGGCAGTTGGTTAAATCCAGGCACTAGGGAGCTGTATAATGAAAGCAGTGACATTGTTCTACCTACCCAGCAGTTGTGTAGCCTGGATGTTTAGTGGTGTAAAGAACAGTTTTTCAGAGGAATGATAGGTTGACTGTTGAGCTACTATGAGGAAACCTCCCTAAATAAGATTTATGTTCAGTTTTCTCTCAGTGCAACTTCTGACAAGGAAGGGATGGAAAAGTGTCATTACAGAGAGGAAGACTATTATGGCTAAAAATGAAGAGATATTAAAGTGCTAATAAAGCGTACAGATGGTACTTAAAGCCTTTTACTTTAATTAGGAAACTGATATGCCTCGACTTGTCCCAGAAGAAAGTTTAATTCGGGTCTTGAATTTGGCAAAGAACCCTGTTCAAGTGACAATTCAAGATCGGGACCTATTTCAGCAGCCCGTGGAGGCTTTTCAGGTAAGCATATATGTAGGGCTGGAAGGTCTGACTTGCATCCCATTGAAGAAGGGGCGGACTTTTTCCAGGCATATTCTAATAAAGGCCAGAGATGCTAGACCTTGCTCTCCTCCACTGCCTTAGAAGTGCATAGGAATAGCTTTAAAAATGGAGTGTATTATCTTTGTTGATGAGACAGAAATGGAAAGTTTGGAGACATATTTCCATGGCAAAGGAGGAAATGGCTAACTACTGGAATGTAATTAGGAATAAAGGATAATTGTCCTGAGATGAGCATGTAGAGACATTCAACTCACATCTCAGTGCTCAGACCAGGCATTGGTGCTGGGATCTGGGTGGCAACTGGAAAGTATTTACCTGCAAAGGAGGAAAGAAATGGGAAGGCAGTTAACTGGGCATGGGTACTGGGTTGTTTCCGATTTCAGCATTCAGATTACAGGTCACACTAATTTGGGACTCAGCCCAGCAGTCCATTGGCCACCACTAGCCTGCCATGTTTTAAATGTGGTCCCATTGGGGCAGGGCAGGGCCAGGGGAAAGGGTAGCTGTGTAGGCGTTCCCTGACCTTTGGGTTGCATCTGGAAAGGGAAGGTACTCTAAGCTCTGGCCCCATCAACCCAAAGCCTATAGTCAACATAGGTCCTTTGCTGTAGAAGACAGCTCTGACCTCTCTTTACAGGCACCTTTGAAGAGAGACTAGAGATGCAATTGGTGGGAAGAGCCAGATCCTTTCTCATCTGAAGAAAGTGTAACCAAGTTTGTTTTTTCCACAGAACCCAACTGAGTACTCAAAATTAATATTGAATGGAGAGCAACAGAGCCTTCGCTTCACCCTGAAACATCAAGGATTGTCTCTTGCTTTTAACTACACTGTGAAGGAAAAATCAGTATACAGCTTAATTGTTTTTGAGGCAGAAGGAAGCCTATCAAGCCGCTTAGTGAGTGTGGGAATGAAGTGTAAATACAGTATTAATTCAATGGCTGTGATGATACAATGGGGTAATAGGCTCATTAATTCATTTGCTCAGTTGCAATGTCTTTGTGATTGCTCTCAGATGCTCTAAACCTGACTTCTTAGCTAGCGGCACTGGATCTGTGTGCATTTCTGCTGGTTGATTAATAGAGGCGTTATGGCATCTGAGAGTTTCTGGGCACACTTTAATCCAGCAAATGCTGCAGTGGGAGAGCAGAGTCATGCCTGCTAGGCAGCAGAGCTTGAGAAAGCTGAGGAAACAGAGTGCCAGAGACTTTCCCCCAAAGATGGTTCTATAAAACAAAGATGTTAAAGAGGCTCTAGGGCTGGGCATGGAATAAAAGCATCAGAGGAATGATTCTGCCTTTAGTTATTGCAAGTGTTTAGTGAAAATGCACAGAAGGCCCATTTGTTTTGCTGAACAGAATAAATGATTAAGCTCATTTCAGGCTCTGCAGCAGAGCCGGCTGCGTTTGGACTTTTGTGTATTGCTGCAACAGAGAGAGGCATATGGGATGTATAGGGTGGGATTGTGATATCTTTTATGTGTAGCTGTGTCCTAAGAATCTCTCTTGAAATGAATGGTGTTATTACACATGGTGGCAGATGTGTAAATGCCATCAGAATCTGTCCTCATGCTAAAATATCAATTCTCTTTCCAGTTCCTCAGCCTCCTACCTTGCAAGGTTGCCACACCAAGCATTCAATATTGTATAGTAGAAATCACATACTGCTTTAAATATGAAGAGTTTTAAGAATTTTTTTTCCTAACATTGAGGTTTTTTTCTGCTTTATGGTTTAGAGCCTAGGGCTCATTATCACACAATGTTGTTAAGTTTCCCTGTGACCCTGATGACTGTATGCTGTTACCTTAAGAAAAGGATGCTTATACAGTGATTTTCATACAATCCTTAAGTGAAAGCCTGTGACAGGCTGGAGCAAAGCAATCTCTGAGCTTTGGTACATCTCTGTGCTGCCCTAGCCTGTGCTTAAATTAATGCCTACCCTGGCATGGGCAGGCTCCTATGCGCTGGGGAACAGCTGTGCTGTTGGGTGATAAAATTGACCTGTCATTCTCAGCTGTAGATAAGGAAGGTGTGGAAGACAGTGTGGTAAATGATACTCACTTTTCCAGCATTGCAACACAAGGAAGGCAATGCCAGCATCACTGCTGTGTTGCAGGGCTTGCCCTGAAGTAGCCACGGCCCACGCCAGCCTCCCTCTCTGCTGGGTTTGGCTCCCTCACTCAGGTGGGGATGTTTTCCTTGAAGAATCCAGTCTGAAATTAGTTTCTTCTCCTTTGTGGGCTGTAGAGTAGGCAGGAAATGAATTTGAGAGCTCTGGGGATCATCGATGAAAGTGAGTAATAATTTGGCTGGCCTGTCTGCAACAAGCTAGAATGTTAATCCCCATGTGTCTCCCATGGAAAAAAATTATGTTGTTGTTTATTATTTATTGCTCTGACTTTTATTATTCACTGTAGCTATTTATTATTTAGGGCATACATTATCTGTGGGTCAGTGTATCACACTGAAGTACAATAGACATTTTATAAGTATACTGAAATTCTGGATTCTTGGTCTCAGAAGCTCGGGGTTTAACATCAGGAGGAAAGTGTGGAGAAAGGGCTAGCAAATTTTAAAAGAAAACCAGTTTCTGAAAGCAGATTCAAGTCCTTGGCTTGCCTGGTTTCTGTCCATGGGCAGCACAAATTGAAATTGCTCTGCCAGCTTAAGTGGACATGGCACAACCATGGATTTCTACCAGCCAAGAGCCTTGCTCTGTATTCTTTTTGTGTGACATACAATCTTCAGGACAGGGCTGAGTCTTTACTGTCTTTTTTCAGCATTATACACCAAATAGGCTCTTCTTGAATGAATACGGATCATGTTGAGGTGATGCTCTAGCTGTGATCTCCAGGAGCGGCGCTCTCAGTCCCCAGGGTGCCCAACCAGGTGGCCATTTCAGGGATGTGTCTGCAGAGACTGAGTGCAAACAGGCTCAGTGCGTCTTGGTCTTTCCTGCTGTCTGCCTGCGCTATACAACAGTTTAATCTCTTGAGTATTGAGGGTCAGGGAAAATGAGTGATACATGATGATCAGAATAGTAACCTAGTGGTTTCTCTTGGCTTTAGGCTTATATGAAGTCTATGATTATGCCAAGAATCAAGGTCTGAAAGTTAGGCAGTTGCAGGTTTTGTAGGAGTAAGGCACTCATATTTAGTTGTAACTAATCACTGAAAGAGGCTAATGTGGGTGATGTTCTCCTGCTATCTTCAGATCAAGACAAATACATTTTTGGAGGGCGTTACCCTTAGTAGAAGGGTGACTGGCTGAAACTCTGTAGCCTTTGTTACACAGGAGATGACTTTAAAAAGGTATGAGCTCATTATTAAGCCCTTGGTGGAGCTGAAATTTTGCCATTGGCTTCATTGTACCAGGACTTCACTTCTGTGACCTGATGTAAAGCTTATGTGAAAGTCCAGTCGATTTCCATGGGCTTTGCAACACATGTGTAACTCCAGAGAATTAGTATTTTCTGCTATACATTGTTATAAGGCAGCATTAATAAATATATTTGATTTTTTTTTTCTTCCCCTCTTTAGATTACAGACTTGGAAGCAAAGCCAGAAAATGGTTTGGCAGCTGTTAGGTAGGAATGGTTTTTTTAGGTTTTGGAGGTGGTGGGGTGAGGGAAACTGCTTTTGTTTAATGCAAACTGTATGTAACATAACCCAGATGTTCTCAGGTTGGAATCTAGTCCACATTTCTTATGGAAGACTCAGGTGTCAGCTGTGGTGGCTGGACAGCGTGTCACCTCCCACACTTGCCATGCAGAGCTAAGCATTATTGCTGCTTACTGCCTAGGACAGTCTGGGCTGAGATGGCAATATAAAAGATCTCCTCCCTTGGAAGAGTGGTAAATTCATCTCACTGTGTCCCACCTCTTTGGGAAAGAAAGGGAAGAAGCAATCTGGAAAGGAGCCATTGCCATTGCCTCTGCAAACTGGCCAATCCATGACGTTCATTTATCTTACCCAACCTCATGCACCAATGCCAACTAAATTGGATACAGCAACAATTTTACATCCTCGTAAACAATTCAGCTGGGCATTGGGCTCTGCTTAAGCAGCTAAGACTAGCTTTCTGAATTGGAACTAGTCCATGAACAGTCCTGTGCTTGGTCTGTGCTGAGATGCCATCTTGCTGAAGTCACAGTTACCTCCAGCACAACATCACCAGACCTATGTGAGGCTGCTGAGATGCAGAAGAAGTAGATTTGGGG